ACATAAAGTTATATAAGATTAATCTGAGAGTTTTTTACCAAAAAGGAAATTTTTTTATAAAAAGGGAAATGATTTTCAATTTCGAGGCAATTCAGCAGGTGTTTTAATAACAAATTGAGAAATGATTTTCATAGAAAATCTCGTGACAAAATTTATAATAAATTTAAAATAAATGATCAACAAAAATGATCAACAAAATCGTTACTAGTTTTATAAAAAACGCCCAATAATATCTTTTTATTGTTTTAAAATTTTAAAACATAACACTCCTCTTTTTCACTATGACATGTTCAAAAATATTTTCAGGAAATCTACCTGAATTAACATATGAAATTGTACAATACTTTCGAAATGACTTTTCGACATTACATTCATGTATTTTAGTTAATAGATTATGGTGTCGTTTGGCAATTCCATTATTGTGGGAGGACCCGTTCTCAAAGGAATATCCTAAAAATTATCATTTTATTAATATTTGCTTACACAAATTAAATGATGGTGATAAAATAAAATTAAATGAATATCGATTTTTTACTGGTTCATCGTTTCTTTCAAATACATTATTTAATTATCCTAGTTTTATTAAATGTTTATCTATACCTAAAGTTTATAATTCTATTGAATCCTGGGCTATTAAAAATTTTTTATGTGATGTAACTGATGTTATATTGCGAAATTTTATTTTCTCATTATTAGTCAAAATATTTATTGAAAATGAAGTTAATTTACATACTTTTGAACTCGAAATCTCTAATCTTATAATTCAGTGTTATGATGATTACTTTAATACAGCCCTTCAGTTAATCCTACAAAATCCAAAATTCATTTGTAATGTTAAAAATTTAAGTATTCGTTTAAGTTATCAAAAAGATAGCTATTTATCATCATTTATAAAATATTTTTACTCTAATTGCACTTCAATTTCATCAGTTTATGTTCATTCTTTATCATATAATTACATTGAAAAAGATTGTCTATTCAAATTGATTAATTCACAACAAAATCTCAGAAAAATTTATTCTTTTAATAGTAATTTAAATTTAAATGTTACTAATTATTCAAATACCTTAAAAACAATTACATTTCATTGTATTCAATTAAATAGTTTGAAAGTTAATTTTGAACAACTAAATGTTTTGGAATCTATTCATATTCTTTATTGTAGTTCTTTAGATTCTACTTTTTTTCAACAAATTATTAATCTGACTAAACCGTTTAAGTTAAAATCTTTATTTATAGATGAACGTTCTAAATTACAAATTGAATCATTAAAGTTATTATTACAAAAGTCGGGTAATTACTTAGAAAATATTACAATTAAGTTATATAATAGTGAATATATGCTACAATTATATAAACTATTGGAAATTTATTGTGACAAGATCAAATTTTTAGATATATTATTTAAAAATGATAAATATATTTATTTGGCACTTGATTTAATTAAGAATGTTCAACAAAATCTTAATTACCTTTCTATTTATTTAATCCGACCTAATCGTAAACTTGAATCAATTATGTTAGAAAATTTAGAACAAATTCTTCCTCGTAGGTTAGAATATTTAAAATTGGAACATAATTTTAGTGCAAAAGGTTCGAAAGTATTATTTAAAAAATTACAAAATATTTTTATTAAGAAATTATTAATCGGAAATCCAGCAAATTCGTATGATACTTTTGAAAGTGAAGATATTTTACTTCATATTAAGAAATACATTATGAAAGAAAAAAGGATCGAATATTTAGCTATGAAAGATCTTTACAAAAGACGTGAAAAGAGAGATTTGTTTGATTATAAGAATGTAGTGAAAGAATTTAAATTTTATGGTATTCACGTTAAAGATTATGATGATTTATGTATTGGTGACGGTGAAAATATAAAAACGGATTATATTGGTTATGAATTCTTATGATTTGTAAATAAATATATTTTATTAATCATGATAATAAAAAATGAGTAAATGAAAGATTTGAAATAACGCAATGTAAATTGTAAAAAAGATTTTTTACTATTATTACTGTATAAATACTAAGTATTACTTAATAAACAAAGAGTAGTGAACTTAATATTCCTTGTAAATGTTGATTATCAAACCATAATTTGTCAAAGTTTTAAATAAAGAATTTAGTCAGTTTAAATTATATGTAAAGATTATAACAAATTAACAATAAGTAAAGTTTGCGTATTTTGAACTAAAAAAATTATAACTCTTACCTTTTTTAGATAATTTTGATAATACCAGTCAAAATTTTATTTCCTATTATAGTAAAAAATTTTTTTCATCACCTGACCCTATATATATTTTTCTGGGTCCTTTAAAAGGCAACGTTAAAAATTGACCTTAAATAAAATTCAAAGTACTTCTAAATCCTTAGAATTTATTTATTAATATATTCATACGAACTATATGACAAACTATTTATATATTTATATAGTACTGATATATCAATACGAGGATTGATATAAAAATAATAACTAGCAAATATGCATAGTGATAACCATCGCCGCGGCCAGTATACTTTCGAGCCTAATAATAGCTTTGTTGTATTACATAAGAAACATCACTTCACTAAAATGTACCGTAACCATATATGGTATCGGGACATTTCGCCGAAAGCCATTTCGCCGAAAAATAATCTCTGGCCTGAGTTATTTATAATTCTACATAATGTTGTAATGTTGGCCCTATTTTTGGGCGAAACGTCCTTTCGGCGAAATGTACCGTAACCCTAAATATATAGAATATATTAATTTGCATTCCTAATTGCATAAAATTTATTAATATTGCGCTGTAGAATAAAAATACTAAATCATGTTGAAATTTTTATTCTATACATATGAGAAATACAGTTTTAGTATATCTCTTCTATTAGCGTTTGCTTCTTATTTATAATTCATCATGCCAAAGGACACTTCAATCACATTGCGTGTGATTAAGACCGGACATAATATTTAATTATTTTATGGATTTCAAACCTTTTAGTTTAACATAAATTATTTGCTTAAACAAGACAAAACATACTTCGTAAAACATTAACTGGAACATTTTTTTTTACGATAGGGTAAAAGACATAGATATGAAGTAAAATATTATGTCTAATCAATACATTTGGCGATAACAGACAAGTCTATTAGTGCGATTAATCAAAACAACTTCGTATTATAACTATTATAACTATAAATATATACTGACAAAGTAAATGATTTAATTAATAGTATTGATAAGTATTTTTCTTACTAACGCTAGATAAAGTTTTGAAATTGACACTTGTATTCTTATAACGTTTGTTTATGTGTTAAAGTTTTCATTTGTAATCTTTTATTCGTCAAATTTTCTTTCCATATTTCCTAAAGAACATTGTTAATTTTCTATCACAAATTGTTGTATAATCGGATATTTTTTGATAAAATTATATTGTCATGTTCAAGAAATTTTTTATTCCTACTTTTCTTTTTAATCTTAATTTTTAATCATACCGATTTTCTTTTTTTTTTTTATTTTACTTGCGTACGTAAATATTGTGCATCTTTTGATATTTTATATTATAAACTAACATGATGTCATCTTTCATTAACTTCTAACCTTTTAATATTACTTTATTTATTTATTTATTTAGTACAATGAGGAAGATAGAAAAAGATAAAATTGAAATAAAACTCTATTAAATTATCTTTCGAAAGCTATAACTATTATCGAGCCTCCTAATCATATTATTATACATTTCTATAGCTGAATTGTTTTTCCTTTGCTTATGATTAGAATCTCCTACAAGGTGAAAAAAATGGTAGAAAATCATAATCCTAAATGTACTAAGTTAGAGAAATGACTATGGCTCTCCTAATGTTATTTAATTAGAAGCCGTAAATATAGTTGAGGATGTTCTAGTTATGCGATGATGTAATCTGACGTTTGTGAGATGAAGTTCTTTGTTAAGCTTGCATGTGATTTGCACAACTTGACTTTAACTGGAATCTTCTTTTTTTTAAAAAAACTTATTGAGAAATGAAATGATTGACTAATAATTTCCTATTATATAAAAATCACTTGAAATTCGTGCATAACAACGGATCAACAACATGCATAGAAATTTCCAACTTTCTAAATAGAATTCGAGACTTCTTTTAAGAAAGAATTGATAAATTATAAATAAACGTTGTTTTTTTAATTTTAATGATCATTTCTTAAAATTCTTGAGAATACTTTAGATACAACAATATGAACACAGATAATAATTCATTTGACCCTACGCCAGGATTAAAATCTAGTCCCGTACCTGTATTGTTTATTCCTTTTAAGGATAATGAAGATAAATGTAATTATTGTGCAAATAAATACTCCATGACACTTAAATTTGAACAAAAATATTGCAAAAATTGTTTATATTGGCATATTCAATATACAAAAAATACAACCAATAATACATACTTAGATGTAAATATAAGTACAAATAATTCTCAGTGCACTGAACATAAAGCAATTAGAAACAATTTTTATACAAGAAACATTCAAGAATGGTGTGAATATTGCTCTGAGATTTTATATTTTAGACAAGTAATCCCAAATAATTTATCAACCAACGAATTCTTTTTTTCAGAGAGTTATGTTCATTATATTAGTAAAGGCTTTGAATTATATGATAAGCGGTCTGGTTGTTATCAAATTTCTCCTGGATGGGTAGAATCAACTTTGAATAAAGAGCCTATTTCTATTCTACATTTACCATGGTGGGATAATTATACACAATGTGTAGTTTGCACACGAAAACTAAAATATGTAAACCAAGTATCAGAATCTTACTATTGTCAAAAGTGGTGTTCATGTTGCTTTACAATTTATACTGGATGTAGGTATTGTTTGACAACAAATATTATTTTTGGAATTACAGATCAGTCTCAATGTAAGAAATGTAAAAGAGTATCATTTATTAATATTGATACTACAAATATAATTAGTGGAAATTATATTATAGATGAATTCCTTGCTTCTACAAGAATTGACAGCAATAATCAACGTTTAATTGCTAATTATGTGAATAATGATACAAATTTAAATCCGTTAAATGTATATTTGTTTATTAGAAACTTATTTAGTACAGAAAAACAAATAATAGAGTGGATTCCATATTCTCAAATTAAAAATTTTAAAAAAATAGCAGAAGGAGGATTTAGTATTATTTATAAAGCAATTTGGTCAGACGGTACACATGATCTTGATGTTGCTGTAAAAGAAATATCTAATTCACAAAATATCAGCAAATACGTCAAATACGTTTTAAATGAGGTAATATTAACATATTTGCAACTTATTTTTTTTTAATATTAATTGACTTATTTATATTTTGGTAGTTAAAATCACTTTATTATCTTTACGATTTCAACAATAACATTATTGGTTGTTATGGTATTTCACAAAATCCACTAACAAAAGAGTATATGCTGATAATGGAATATGCAAAAAGTGGATGTTTATGGGATTACTTACAAAAATATTTTGCAAATATTACATGGCAACAGAAAATAACGACTTTAACGGATATTTCGTCTGGGTATTTATATTTTTAGTACATTAACTTATTATTTAACACTTGAGTTTTATTAATTACTAATTTTTTTTAGACTTCAAGTTATTCACAGAAATAATTTTGTACATCGAGATATTCATGGTGGAAATATATTATTTTCAAATTTACGGAAATATGGATTAGCTAATGGATTAAAATGTTGGAAAATTGGAGACTTCGGATTATCACAATCTGCAAACAGTACTTTATCTAATAATGGAATATATGGAGTGATCCCCTATATCGCGCCGGAAGTATTTAAATGTTTTAAATTTTCAAAAGAATCCGATATATATAGTTTGGGTATGATTATGTGGGAGCTTACGACAGGTTATAAACCTTTCGCTAATGTTGAACATAACGTTAATCTTATTTATGAAATTATTGATGGAAAACGACCTGAAATTACAAATGATACACCCGAATGGTATGCTAATTTAATGAAAAAATGCTGGGATTCTAATCCTTTAAAAAGACCAGATATTCGCGAAGTTTGTTGTACTGTTACCAAATGGTATCAACTAACTAGTGAATGGGTTTATTCTGGAATCCCTTTTAATGATCCTGTAGATTCAGCTGATTCAATTGAAACTATAAATCAAGCTGAAAAGATGAGATTAGAATTAATACGATCAAAGAAACTTGGACCCGAGTCTATTGAGAAATCTCATCCCAAAACAGTCTTTACAAGTAGAGCTTTAAGTTCACTTATTTCCAAATCTTTAACTCTAGATTTTTCGTCAAGAAATTTATTTAATTTGAAACAAGGTATATTAATTTAATTTAATCTGTTCCATTAAATTTATTAATTTAAATTTCTTTTATAATTCTTTAGAATATATTACAAAAGAATATGAATTTGATATAAATAATATCCAAAGGTAATTATAATAACTAAAAAAATTATTAATGACATTGTTGAAAATAAAAAAATATTTATTTTTATGTAGTTTGTCTACAAACAATATAAGTTCCGTTCAAAATTCCTTTAATTCTCAGCGTCAAAATGCTTATTTTAGTAAACCATTGAGTAAATTGGTAACAATTATAACTACAAATTCTTCAAGAAAGCGTAATATTGAAGAATTAAATTTCAAAACTCAGAACAGTAGTAAGTGAAATTTTTTTATGCTCGTACAATAATAATGTTTATAGTAATATAACATATTAATTTAAATTTATTTCTGAATAAATAGGAAAACATACTAAAACCGACAATTCAGATTGAGAGTTTTAATATAGCAAACTTTTCATACTGTACGTGTTTATTAATATCCCATCTACATTATAGAATATTCGTCAGTTATATATTTGTGGAAGTAACTTACAAATTATTGCCGTCAAAAGTTAGGGTCGAAACGTTTAAACTTGATTTCCGTTGATCAAATGATATTTAAGTGTACCTATATTCACTAATTAAATATATAGAATATGATTATATTGTTTATTATGTATTTCTGCCATAAAACCTGTATAAATTGTATAAATAAATATAATATTAAAATTAATTAATTGCTTAAATGAGTTTTTAACTATGTCATTATCACTAGGATTTTTAAAACTTCAGGTAAAATATTTACATCTCAATTGTAAAGTACTAGTTGAAACTTTGGGCAAGGTCACAGGACTTTAAGCGAAACTTGTCTTAAAAATTTAGAATATCAAATAGAAATAATGTATTCACCGCACCCTGCGTTACAAATTTATATATATTTTTATGTTTATCATTTGCCATTTTAAGGAGGGGTGCGGTAAATAAATTCACTCTATCAAATATAATACGAAAAATATTGAAAAGTACAACATAACCAAATTATATTAATTAATTATTTTAATCAATCACATGGTAATTTGGCTATGAAACTTCAGATGAAGCCACAAAACTTTAAATTATTTGAATCATGAATATTTGTTTTCCAAATTCTGGGCAAAGCCATAAATATCATGAAACTATTAACTAAATAAATATATATTGCTTAGTATTAATGTGAAGCAACACAAAAATTTTTAAGCCAAATTTTTAATTATTTGTCAATCATATGATAATTTGGGCTTTGAAATTTGTTTAAAGCCACAAAACTTTGGTGAGATTATTGTTGAATATGTGATATATCATTAAACATATTTATTTCAATTTATCAATAAAAAATAAGATTATATGAATAAAATCAAATTTCAAGCATTTATTTATTTGATAAGATTAAAAAAAAATAATCATCTGCTAATATATTATAATATATTATATGGCTTGTTTCGGATACAAAGCCTTCTCTGATATTGATGATCATAGTTGCACAGATTGTGAAATTTAATTTTTTTATTTAAACCAATACCAAAGAAACAGATTTTAGACTCATAACTGATAAAAAAATTTTATACATTTATATAAATATTTCCTTTTAATTCCTTTAGTTGTATAAAGGAAATATTTTTATACATATTTTAAACAATTATAATAGATTAAATATTTAAATATGTAAATTTCACTATTAAATACATAATATTATTACATTGCAATATAAATTAATGGTCTTTTACTTGTCAGAACGTCAAAATACCTTATTATAATCTAATATAATTTTATAAATTCATTACATTCTTCAAAATTCATATTTAAATGAACACACTGATGCATAATAATCATAAGCTTTGTTAAAACTTTTTTTATGTGTTTTTAATAATATAAACCAACTATATTATATTATTATTATTACCAAATTCAATTCTTACTGATCTTGGTGAAGAAATACAAATAAAAAGGGCCAATCTTGCTGAATCTTTTAATAAGCAACTTAAGAAGGATTTTGTAGACAATTTACACAATAAAGAATCACGTGAATTTTAGACCATTGAACTGAATAATCCTCCTATGAAAATAAGAGCTAATGTTGTTATAAGAAATATAAGAAGACATTCAGAATCTCAAAAGTCTCAAAAAGTAAAAAAGTTGCACTATGTCCATACTTTATAATTAAGTTAGCAACGAGATCTCCATCAACCTGAAAAATGGATCCATAATATCACCATTACTATAATGTATATATTATAATCTTTTACTACACTAGCTACTGGATTAGCAGATCAAAGAAAGTTTGTGAAGTTCTTTTAGAATCAATAGGATCAAACTAATTGAAGTTAATTACAGTAAATCTCAAATGAAAGAATTGAAGTATGGTAAAATGACATTAATAAGGTGGCCGGAATTGAGTCTAATTAAATCATCTATACTCATACTTGCGCCAACAGGTATTGCAGCATTTAACAATCATCCTTTTTGGCTACTCTTTCAGAATATTAGCAAAGCTATAGTTTGTATTAGCTCTTATATAGTATATTACAATTGAGATCAGCTCTTATATGTTAATAAATTAGATTGTATTATTTAGAGGGCTATTAATATTAGCATTTCTTAGTGTACATTCATTTCCTATTATGGTGGGCATCTTTCTAAAACAATATTCTAAACTTAAAGAATTATATCACAGCCTTATTTATTGTTCTATACACATGGATGCCAGATAATAGGAATTCAATGTCACTAACTCTGCCCAATCCAAAATTGAAAACAAATTAGATCACTTAACTGATCATATTAACACTTTTCTGGATTCACTTAACTCTCACAAAACCCTATCTGGAGACACACCTTTTTAAACTCAAAAATGTCATCTTTGGAGGAATTTCTGACACTCACCTATCTTAAACAAATGAAATTTCTTTCCTCTTTCATACAAGATTATCCATTTGCCTAAAAATATAGGATAAGGATTCTCTTACATTTATAATATTTATAACATATATTATATTTTATAGAATATAACTTTAATAGCCTCATTTTCTGATTTTACACCATCTTTAATAAAAGTAGGCAATTTTACAATAATTTAAAGTGCGCCAGAAAAATAGCGTAAAATTTCTAGGTACTTTCCGGGACTGGGTAAACATCTTCATAAATGAGATGACAAATCGTTTAGAATATAAAAATTATAAATGATAACATAATATATTCACATATTATAATAACAAATTGGAAACATGTTTTTGGCATCCAACAATTCATAAATATTCATCATGAATATAACCATTTAAGAAAGGTAATCAAAGATTAAGCAAACAACATTATCAAAGGTGAAGTAAATGACAATTCAGTTTTACAAGTTATGAGAGATTTGCTACAAAATTCAGAATAAAATGGATATAATAGGATTTAAAAATAAGATGAAAACATAAAAGCAACCTATATTCCAAAATGAGAATGGCTAAAATATAATATATTGCTTTTATAAATTGACATAAAAACACGATGGAATTCATACATCTTATTTAATAATATAAGCTAAGGGAACATATCTGATTAAATGAATTAGTATGTCCAGAAATCATAAAGTTTAACTCAACTGTCTCATAGTAGCCAGCCATTACTAGGCATTGGTAAACCCAAATATAGTTAAAAACTACGGAATGAGAACAATCAATATATATAGAAAATGCGTACATCTCATACTTTATTGCTATAAAGTATATTGAATGGATTAGTTAAAAGAATATAAGCTTTCTTAGTATTTTAAATACCTTTGATTGTATTGTATATATTATATAAAAAAAGTTGATAAGAAAAGCAGAAGGAAAAAGTATGAATCAGTAGTCACTGATAAAAACCCATTTCTTCTTAATATTTTAATCCATGAGTGGGTGTAAAAATATAAGATATTATTAAATATATAATAAAAACTGTTGAAATATCTTATGAACCTGATAAGAGAGCTGAGAGATTGTTTAAACGTGCAGATTTTACGCGCAATGGAGATTGGTGATACTAGCTATAATAATCATGTTGTATTTGGTGTGCTTGGGCAATTATTCAAGATAAAGATGTTGCTTAATAGAAAGTTAATTAAGGCAATATCAAACTATTGCCCAAAATTAATAAAGTTAACTATGGATGTTGACCATAAAAACTTGGAAGAAATGACCAATATTTTTTCAAGTTGCACACAATTAGAGAAATTATTTCTTACAACAAAATGTTAATATATTATTCAATGGGAATGATGGGTTAGTGGAAATATATATGCAAAGTAGAGATAAAAGAAAAGGAGATTTATAGATATAAAGAAAATAGAGAAAAAATACTTAATTAATATATTTATGGAAATCTAATGCCAGAAATTTCATTATAATGAAGACATGAAATGAATAATAATTTTTATATAAAGAAAACTTTAATAGATAAACTGCATATAAACATTTAATATAAATTGAATTTCTAATATTATAGGCTAAACAATATAAGAACAATTCAGCTTATAATAAGTATGATATGATGATATTTTCAATGATTTAAGATAAAAATAGTGGTGCTCAATCTATTTAGGACATATAATAGAAGATAATGAGAACATGTCTATAAAAAATATAGATTATTATATTAAATACAAAGACCAAAGAAAAAAATAAAGTAATTCAACTATGAAATCTTATACTTGCATAGTTTAAGGATCAATTACCTTCCAAAATGACTATATTAGTAATACCATTAGAATACTCTGAAATTTTGCTACCAAATGTTGTAATTTTAGTCAAAAATCCAAATTATAAATAAATGTAAAAATACATTATTATGATAATATAGGATTTTAAATAGTAATTATTTGAACAAATATTTACAAGATGTTAGTATAATGATTATTGTTTGCTTTATTCCAAATAACATGACTATTTTTACAACTAGCTATAATGTTATTATCTCAGAGATGAATTATTTTGCCCATTAAGCAGGAGTATACTCAATAGTAAAGAACTTAATGATAAATTTAATGATACCCTGGTATAATGAATTATGTAATTTATCAAATTTTACTTGTTATTATTAATTTATTTTTAAAAGATTTCAGTTAATAACATACTATACCCATCATTTAGCAATGTTTATTTGAAATACATACATCAATTCACAATAAAGGAATTGAGTATTTAGAAATTTACATTAAGAGTAGGACATACTATGTCATCAATGAATTTAATCACATTATGAATATACTTACTAGGCATAAAAAAATCATAGCTGCATAACTTACATATATCAATAACAAAGTCCATTCAAGAAACTTCTAATTTTACCACTTATTAATAATGATGAAAATTTACTGAATAGTGGGCAATACCATAAAAAATTATGGAAATAATTAAGTTAGAATATAAAAAGCTAATATAAAGAATATGAAATAGAATAAAAAATATATAAGTTTACCAAAATCTATTTTTGCTAGACTTGTTATTACAGTTTTATCATACATGATTGACTAGCACAATAATTGATTTGCAGAATAAATATAATAACTCCTATCATGACACAATTGTCATCTAAAAGTATAGTATGGATGAGTTGATCACTTTCTTACATAAAAAAAAACTTAGGACTAAATGAGAACAAATTCTCTAAAAGTACTATAAAATAATGGATTATTCTCTAATTCACCTAATTTAAAAATTTTAAATTTTTCCATACAAAAAAAAATTTTTTTTTACTTGAAAAAAAAAATGACATTTTATTTAATAGCTTTCTGAGTATTAAAAGTCAGAACCTTCACTCACTTTCAATTTTTTTGAATAATAATACAAATATTGGCATATTCATAAATAAGAAATGATAAGACATTTTTTATAATAATTCAAATTTAAAAAATTTATTGCAATATGTTTCATCTGTTAATTTAATTTTGGTTTTAATAAAATTTAGTGTAATTCCTAAATTAGTGGAACTTGCATGAATAGGGAAAATTCAAAAAACAAATATCATTCATATAAGATCAAAGAGGTTACTTTAGGCCACGCAAACTAATATTTTCGGTTCACGTAACATTAAAATTTAAAATTGACCCAGGGACCCGGGTTTTATTTTTTATTAATAAAAAATTTTTATTATAAGTCACGTGACTTACTAGTTTATAATTAGATGAATTTCGAAGATAATCGTTCCAGTTTGTTTCTAAAAATGCCTATCATACATGTACGAATAAGTTACAACTCTGTAACTTTTAAAGATTGGGAAGGTTTACCAGTTGAAAAAGAGACAAAAATGAAGGATTTTTTTAATGATATATCAATTTCATGTTTGTCATCTAATTTCTGGGAAGCAGATTTTAAAGTACTATTATTTTATTTATTTTATTACTAGAAGAGTGGTACACCAAAACTATTACAAATAAAAGAAAGACAACATTTACATGATCTACTACTAATATACGTGTATAGAATTTTGGACGTTAATCCCTACGGGACCTCACCCTTCGAACTATCTATTCAAAAAGCTAGGACTACGCTAACCTTTCAAATGGGAAAAAAGAAAAACAAAAAGTGAAACCCGCCCATCCGAAAGGTAAAGAGACCTATAAAATTAAATGTAAATAAAATTTGTCCTAACTAAAATTGTATGAAGGGTTTATATATTGTAATAAAATAAGTTTCGATCATATGTAATTGAGTCTATAATATCTAAATATAAAGAATTTATCCACAGAAGATTATGTCGAAAATTTATTTTAAAGTACTATTCATAATAATTAAGATTTAACCAATAAAATCACTTGAAATCACGTGAAAAAAAATTTTTACATATAAAAATTTTTTGGTCAAATTTTGAAAAAGTGACCCGGCCGGGTGAAGTGAACTGAAAATATTAGTTTGCGTGGCCTTACAATCATATTATTATCAGCATATGTCTTTAATTAGAGAAGTTTGAGCTGTATTAAATCAAGAAAAGAATCTTTGTGGAAACTTGCTAATGATTTAATAATAAATTTGATTTACCAAATCCTTAACTTTCAATAAAAACAAAAAGACTAGCATGATAGAAAAATATGCCAATAAATAAATTATTCTATTGGAAACAAAAGTTTTATACTATAAAGAAAACAATTATGGACTGGAAAATGAAAAGGACCAACTATATTCAGGTGATTATAAAACATGTAGTGTATGCTTAACGTTGTATGTATTGTATGCTTATGTATTTTTGATTGTGTCCATACATGTATGGATATTAAAATGAACGTTTGCTATGTATGGCATACTTATTTTCGCCATACATAAAGATTAGTATTTACAAAAAAAAAAATTATTTTTTATTATAAATAAATATTTCTTAATGTATTATGCAAATATTTACAATATTCATAGATGATGACTCAAGGAATTAAATTTCATTTTCAGATATAGTTTCATCATCAGATATAGTCTCAATATCTGAAAGAATAATAGAATTTACTTTAGACATAATAATAAACGTAATAGAAATATTTTAAATGAAAAGAAAGAGATTGTAGTAATAAAAACGCGATAGAAATATTTATTTTAAATTTTTTTAAATGAAAAGTAATAAACATGGTAGAAATATTTATTTTTAAATAAAAAGAAAAAAAAGATTATAATAATACACGTTGAATTGTTTTAGCCAGTACACAATCATAAAGAAAAATGTGAAATAGTTATATTTGGTAATAAAATACATGAAATTACCACATTTATCATACAATACATACATAATTGAAAAAGACCATACATTACATACATTAAAAAGTTTTAATAATACAATACATACAAAGCTAACCATACAATACATGTTTGCTATATACCCACTATATTCATCAAGTTGAATAAAAAGAAGCATACAAACTATGTACTATATTTCCTTCTCATTAATACTGATGCCATAATTTTTTGAAGGATTTTTTGTTTGATAGTAAAGTTCTTTTGCAGCTAATTTTTCTCTTTCACAATTGATTTCATTTATTGGTAAATAACTTTACTTTATGCATTCCATGACTCTTTTTTGATCTTTCTCAAAGATATATTCATTTTGACAGTGATGATAAGCATGTTCATTATTGTTTGGCTCACATAATTAATTTAGCAGCACAACAAGTTCTTGCTACTCTCAAAGCTACAGAAAATGAGAACTTTACACCATGAGGACAGATACTCTGCATTCTTCTGGAAAAGCTCTTCCTCCAATTGTATCTGCTATTGTATTTGTTTTTATTTTTAAAGTCCCATACTGTAGCACACCAAACTCAGTCAGAGTCAAAATTTCTTGTCAAAGGTTATGATTTTCTTCTTGAATATTCGGAAATTGTCTCTTGAAGAAAGTATTTTTAGACTATTATAACACGAATTGCTTTATTGGAAAAATGAAAGAAAAGCTACAACACCCAGTTAGTCAAACACTAAATGAATAAAGCCAAAGTCCAATAAAGTTTTGCAGAGCAAGATATTATATGGAAGTAAGGAGAAAAAGGAAAGGAAAATTGAGTCCTTATATAATGAAAAGCATGACACAAGAACACACTGAGAACAGATAAAACAAAATCATAAAAAGACATTACATGAAAAACACAAAATCAGACAAAATCAAAATATCATGATGTGTGAAGATATTTCTGGAAAGTTTGAAAAAAGGGAAAAAGGTATTTTTAGAATAAAAAAAAATATCTCAAAATAATAATATATGAAAAATTAATTTAAGCATCTAAAAATAGCAAAGTTATATGGTAAAATATGATGAATAATACAAAAATAATATCAAAAATAAACAAATCTAATCAGCTAAATGATTAACTATAATCAGCAAAATGAAAAAGTATAATGAGAAGATATGGACAAGTTGATGAAAAATTTTAACTTTCAAAAACAAAATAGACTTTTCAGAAATTTTAAATGTTCAACAAAATAAGCCAGAAGAGGTTAATTTTTTTCTGCCACCATACTTAGAAGAAACACAATTTCAAAAATTATAACAAAGTCAATATATCACAAAGAAACACAATTGGCCATGATTAACTCTTTATCTAGGACAACTCTTATTAGATTAACTGCCAACTCCAAACAAATTACTCAGATACAAACATAAGATGACACTGCACTATGCAACAATTGCAGAAAAAACTTTTAATATTTTTAATATTTTTGAAGGATGAAGAAATTGGATGTTGTGAATTTGAATGAATTTGGAATCCTTCAAGAAGCCCAAGCCCAAGAACATAACCAACTTTGGGCTATCACGCAAAAAGAATCTTGGAACGCCCAAATGGTGTCCAAATTATTAGGAAAATTACTCATCAACTACAAATTAGAAGACTTAGAAATGAATATTTATTTTAATAACATCTATAAGGTCTTCTTTTTCAACATCTGCTGACCAAAGTAACAAAAAATTAAAACCAGACAAAAATGAAAAAGTTTCTTTTTTGTATGGAGATACTTCACAAAACTTGAAAATAAAAAAAAGTTCAATGTAAAATAAGGTAGATATTTTTATTATATATTAATATACAATACTTTATATTAAATAATTTTATTTTATAAAATTTGTTTCATTATTAGAAATGAAATAACATCAAATTATTATTTATTTTTATTTATAATTTACAATTACAATATTATTTAGTCTTTATATATTATGTATTAAAAATTGAAAATGATTTTTTTTGAAATGTAAAATAAGAATGTATTTGATTAAATAGATAAAAGAAATATATCATAAATGTTGTGGTTGGGTTTATATTTTGGCCAAAATTAAATATAATTCTAGAAAAAATTAAGTATAATGTGGGCTAAGTCCATTCATTTATAATTAATTAATTGGTTAAGACTTTGGTTAAACAGTTAAGATTTTTCATGATGGTTCGTCTATTCATGATAATCAACATTTGACATGTCTTATTCTCATAAAAAAACAAGCAACCTAAACCCAAATTTCCAAGGTTTGTTGAACAATATTTTTTTAGAGTAATAATGCTATAACTTAAATTGAATATATTTAATACTACATATGTACAAATGTAAAGTCAAATTTATAAAAAAAAATAACTTTATTAATTATTACAATGAACAAAATTTAATACTAATTTAATATTGCTTCAAAAAATTTATATAATTACAAATTTGAATAAATAAATTATCATAATGTTGAACTTTAATATCATATAATTCAAATTCTTTAATTTCATCTATTGAAGTAATTAAATTTTTTTCTTCTCCAGATAAATTTCCTAAAATAGCTAAATATCTAACTCTTTTCTTTTTCATAATATATTCCTTTATATAAGGTAAAATTTCTTTACTTTCTTTTTGATCTGCATCATTAATTAATAATTTTCTAATAAAAGTATTTTGAGAACTTTCTAAAAATACTTTCAAATCAATTGGATTAATTTTAAGAGATAAATTTAAGTATTCTAATTTATGGGGAAGAATTTGACCTAAATTTAATAATACAATTGAACTAAGTAAAGCATCATCACATAAATGATGATTAGAATAATTAAGAATATCAATAGAAAGATAATTTAAATTCTGTTCAATATTTTCAATTAAACCAAATACTAAAAAAATATTTTGATGATCAAGTCCCATCAAATCAAGAAAACTAATATTTGCACAATATTTTATAAGTAATTCAAGTAATTGACTTTTTTCTTCATTATATGTAACTGAATTAAGTACAAAATTTTCCAAATAATTACCAGATTTTTCCAACAATAATTTTAAAGAATTGATTTCTAATGAGTTATTATTCATAAATAAAGATTTTAATTTAAAAGGTTTAGTAATATTAATAATTTGTTTGATAAAATAATATAAAGTACTACAATATAAAATATGAATTGATTCTAAAACATTTAACTGTTCAATTGCTTCACCTAAATCAATCATGTTTATAAAACTGACACGACAAAAAACAATTATTCTTAAAGTATTTGAATGATTATGACTTTTTAATGATAAGAATGAATAATATGATGAACTAAGATGCTCTTGATTATAATTTTTTTTAGATTTTGTTGTGAATTGATTAATTGAGAAATCTGTTTATCAATTAATACATTATTACTAAATTCAAAATGAAATGAAGAAATTAATTTGCAATTAGAATATAGAAGATTTAGAAAAGAATCGAAATTTGCTTCAAATATTTCCATTATTGAATGATAATATAAGATTTTAAATTTTCTAATATTATGTAAGAAATTTGGATTTTGTAAAATTAATTCATAAGTAGTATTAAAATTACTATTACAAGGATTTGTTTTAATTTCAACTTCAAAGGTATGCAAATTTACATTATTTTCATTTTCAATAAATGTTTTGAATAATGACTTAAAAATAGATTGTATAGCAAGATTTTTTCCAGTTATTAAAGTTCTAGTTGCCATCCATTTTTCAACTGAAAAACTGATTTTATCTATATTTAAGCATTTAATAAAACGAGGATAATTAAATAATGTATTTGAAGAAAATAAATCATAAATAATTCCATATTCATTTAATTTTCTTTTATCAACATCATTTAAATTATACAAATAAAATTTAATAAAATTACAATTTCTGGTAGGAATAGAAATGGATCTTCCCACAACAGTGGAATTGCTAAACGACACCACAATCTATTAACCAAAATACATGAATGCAATGTTTTATAATCATGGTGAAAATAATATATTATTTCGCTTATTAATTCAGGCAAATCTCCTGAAAATAGTTTTGAACATGCCATATTGTAGAATGAAAGAAAAGGGTAAAAAGGATACTTCAAAGTCTCAACAAAATATTGAAAATCATTATATACCTACGTAACTCTATTTGTCGCACAAAAAAAAAATATATGGTAAATTTTAATTTCGGAACGATAATCCGTTTATCACAAATTTAATATTGTATCATAACAAAAAAATATGGATGAAAGGATCGACGATTGACGTCTAAAAAGCCTAAAATGGAATAGGCTGTTTTTTTTAACGCTTTGATAATTCCGGTTTAAAAAAAATTTATTCGTTATTATTGTTGATTTTTAAAAATAAATTATACGATTCTGTTAATTAAAGTTTTACAAACAGTAAAACTTATAAAAATTCATTTTTGTCACAATTTTCATTTTTGACCGATTTAAAACAATAAAAAGATATTATTGGGCGTTTTTTATAAAACTAGTAACGATTTTGTTGATCATTTGTTGATCATTTATTTTAAATTTATTATAAATTTTGTCACGAGATTTTCTATGGAAATCATTTCTCAATTTGTTATTAAAACACCTGCTGAATTGCCTCGAAATTGAAAATCATTTCCCTTTTTATAAAAAAATTTCCTTTTTGGTAAAAAACTCTCAGATTAATCTTATATAACTTTATGTAAATGACAATGACAATGACAATGAAAAAAACTTCTAATGCCAACTTTTCGCAAAAACTCTTCCTGTGCCACTAAAAGTCCCTGTTAAATTGTTGCATCATTCAATATTTGCATAATTTCATTTTTTTGTTGATCATTAAAATTTCATAAAATATTGCAAAAAAATAAAAAAATTGTAAAAAAAACGTTTCAGCGTTTTTTCATATAATATTATTAAAAAAAATGCCAAAAACTTTTTTTTTTGCATTACTATTAAGAAAAAAACGTTTTGGCATTTTTCCATATAAAATTATAAAAAAAAGATGTGTATAAGAGACAGGGTTAGCTCTTATGCGCTAAGTATAGGGTACGTTTTTTATATTATTGATATTGATATTGATATTGGTATTGATATTGAGTTGATATTGAGTTCAATATTACGAACAATGGTCGTTTATATAAAAAAAAAAAAA